AGAAGGACGCAGGCAACCTGCCACCTGGATCCTGCTGAGCCGGGATAAACTCTTCATATGAGAATAAACAAAACTGCCCTTGTGCGAGCAACCACTTCCTCCACAAGCTGCGTCGGCGCAGAGGCGTTTCCACCTGCCGAGCGCGCGGGGCTGTTCCCGCACTTCCCCTGGCTGCCCACCACATCCCACTGGGATTTCTGCCTGGGTTTCTCCCAGGGAGCCGCTGGGTCCCTGCTTCCCCGAAGGCAGCTGAGTGATGGAGATGGTTTGAGCGGGGCAGGCGCATGCTTGGCCCCGCTCCCGGCCTCACTCGCAGAGGGGAAGGGGGCCGAGCTACAGCTGGGGGCGCGTTTCGGGGCAGGCGGCCCACCCCACACAGGAAACTGCAGCTCAGCCCCAAGAAGTCAGTTTTTCCCCCTGTCCTTGGGGAAGGAGAAGAGGCGTCTCTGCCCACTCAATGGGTAAAGCACTGATGTGGGGGCTGAGAGTGGGAAGTTTCTTTTGCTGCTCGCTTACTCACGCAGGAAAAATTGCGCAGGACTGAAATGACCTGATAGGGCTGCTCAGATGACTGTTGAACTCATCACAGGTCAAAGGGGGGGTGAGGGTCAAGGAGAAACAGCGAGAGCTAGAAACCGACATTGCAAGCAGACCCAAAATACCCAGGGGCTGCTGCAGTTGGACCTGCACAGCTGGAGACGTTGCAGAAGCAAGACGAGCCTGGGGGAAGTGAGCCACCTGCGCTCAGTTTTCCCCAGCCCAGCTAGCCCTGCACTCTGCTCCCCTTATACCCAGCAAAACCTGCTCACGGTGCACCCAGTGCAAGGACCAGCGGGGCACAGTGTGGGGATAGGTGGCACGTGGACACAGCGGAGGGGACACAGGGGTGGGGGCGTGGGGTGTCAAGGGCAGGGGCTTGGGTGCGAATGCTCAGCACAGGTGCCTGCACAGCTGCTGCGGCGAGGCCACCTGTGTGCAGCAGCCTGCAGCACCTGGCAGCTTTCCATGATCGGGGGGGGGCTTTGCAACCCCAACACGCGAGGTGGGACTCACGATTCCCTCGCGAGGGCTTTGGCATGGCATGGCATTGCAGGGTTTTGGTGTGGCATTCAGCTCCTTCCCGTATGCTCGGCGAGCCTTTGGGATCTGTCCCGTGCATGTCTGGCACCGTGCTGATGCTCCTGTTCCTCCGTCCTTGAGCCTGGCAGCAAAGAGAAAAGGCAGGATAACACCACATCAGCTCCGGGGCAATTGTAAATCCCCATCCCTTCCCCATGTTGTGCGTTTAGGGGGCAGGATGAGCACTCCCGATTTACCTTGAGCTGCTGGCAGAAAGGATACAGCTGCTTCCAAACATCCTCTGCTGGCACCAACCCAGCCTTGCTGGGCATCCTCCGAGGGCATCTTTCACCAAGGCAGTGCTGGTTTCCCTCTGAGCGCTCTCTTGGGGCCGCATCCTGCCACTGCAGCAGCTGCTCTGAATTGGAGAGTCCGGGCAAGGAGAGCCAAAACACCTGACACAGGGCTCAGCATCAACTCCAGCAGTGTGCAGAGCAGGGCAGGACAGATTTGAGGAGTTTAAGCAGCTAAAATTGCTGTCAAACCACTGCTAGAAGCCATGAGTCAGCTTCTACCATCTCACCGCAAAGCACCAGGTGTGAGAAGACAAAGAAAAATGTCAAATGTGTTTATTTTATATATAAAAAAAATTTGTACAATTTAGTTCCTCTATGAAAAAAAAACAAAACTTCCTAACACTGCCGTAATGCTTCGATCCACTGCAAACTGTAAAAACAAGCTTTTTATATATTAAAAAACAATTTTACATTTTACAACTTTCTACATGCATGCACAAGGTCTTGGCTCTGCAAAAAAAACAAAACAAAACAAAAAAATGAACAAAAAGGGTTTATTCTTCTTAAACTCCAAGCAGAAGCCCCCCCTCCCCCCCTGGTCTACACGTCCCATCTCCCATGCTGAAGTCATTTTGCAAAAAAAAACCCCAAA